TTACTTCCTCTCCATAGGAAAGATCATAGTCATCTCTATGAAAGTCATTAATTGTTTCTTCTAATCTCACACTACAGGCTGAGCGAGATCCAGCTCCTCTTCACCGTGCTGCGAAGCTCTTAATCAACTCCCAACTGGAGAATGGCGATTTTCCTCAGCAGGTACTTTTGGAAACATGAAACAAAGCTAACACAAAAAGCTGCTAATTAGTTTTAAAACCTTAGTGATGTCCTCACAAGATTTATGGAGAAGCTGATGAACTATAACCCTTCAGACTCAAAATTTAACTGGTCTATCTGCTGCCTAAGATTTTCTTCTGTTCTTAGACAAACATACCTATATTGCTAATGTGAAAGACGCTTTCTTGAATTGGTGCTAATTGATTTCATAAACTGAAGAGTCGAATTGTATTGTTTTATAGGAGATAACTGGAGCTTTCATGAAGAACTGCTTGTTACACTACGCAGCATACAGAAACATCTTCCCCGTTTGGGCACTCGCAGAGTATAGGAGACGAGTTCCATTGGCATATGAAAAACCTTCAACAGAGAGAAGAAGTTAGATACATCATAACGTCTCAAAACTCACAGGTCATTGACCATATATGATTTAGGATCATAAAGTCATGACCTCTCTTTTGCAATAAGCTATTATTTATATATATGAAGGTGGTTGAGTAATCTACTGAATAAGCAAACGAATGATCGTGTTTATTCATAAATACACATTTATATTATATGTTCATATGTATTATATCTATGTATTGTACCATGATTACTATGTGTATGTTCTCAAGTTATATACTAGTAATGTAATATATTTATATGTATGTAGTTATGCACGTATCCAGGATCAACCAAAATCTTTTCCGCCAACAGCTAATCTCTTTTTTTTTTTTTTTTGTCTCTTAAATCTCTCTTATCCCAGAAGTAAGTAACCTGTTCTTGTCGGTGTTTATTATCACATATTTACCAAAACTCGACCTACTTTGTCTTAAATTAATTTACTTACCACCTGTATATAAGGTTGTTTGAACATACGTCAATCCAGATTTTGTTTTTGGTATAGTCAAAGTATCAACATTTACATTTTGAAAGTTCTGGAAAGCTTTTGCCCTTTTTGTCTACCGTAGATTGGAAGGCAAGTTTCAAATAGTGATTAAGAAGGAGATATGCGATCGTTTAAGTTTAGACCATTGTTACACTTTTTTCTTCTTTCAATATTCAACATGTTGAACAAAAGCCGTCAAAACCACACAAATGCATGTGTTATTATTTCTTGTCCTTTTTTTTGTTCTAATTTCTTTTTGTGTTATAGAATCTGAAATTAGATTATCAGCCAAAAATAAAAACCCCTAAAATAGCAACCATCAGAAAATGAGGCAATGCTCTAACCCAACATTATCTTACGTCTAACTTCATTTGTTTTCTCCATAACGAATCTTTGATCAACCAAACTCTTTCCTCTTTTTTTTTTCCCTGTGAAATCAAAGTGTGGTTTTACTTTTGTATCATAAAGACTCAAGAGGGAAGGATTAACATAGAAGAAAAAGAGAGAAAATGTGGTTACCAAAAGCAAACGGGGCAAAGAAAGAAATAGGAAGTGGTTCAGTGGCAGTTGCAATAGACAAAGACAAAGGAAGCCAACATGCTCTGAAATGGACAATCGACAATCTAGCTTCTCGTGGCCAAACCATATCTCTTATTCATGTCCTCTCCAAATCCCATTCAGATCTTGAAGAAGGAACACCACAGCAGAAACAGCAATTGGAGAAGACAGCCAAAGACCTATTCGTATCCTTCCACTGCTATTGCTCCCGTAAAGAGGTATTATTATTATTGTTCAGCTGGATAAAATAAACCCCCCCCCCCCCTTGTCAAAGGTCCCTACCTACTACTACGT